GGGTAGTTGAAGTATTCGGAGGAAGCTTGCGGAGGATAGTTAAATTCAAATGCTGTCGGTAGCAGGCAATCTGGATATTTACGAACAGGCGAATATTATATTTGAAGTAGAAATTCATCGATTGAATATAGGATGAATAGTGTATACTTTATATGTCTCGCGTGTCATTTATTTTGTTATTAGTATCTTGTATCTGATTGTGGATCGATGATTTTTAAGGACAAACGGAAAATATAATAAAACAATGAAAAATATAACAGAGCACGGATTTCCATGTATTTTTAAATTGTTAAAACGTGGAATCTAAATAGAAATTTGTTCCTTCTGCGAAGAATTAGAACAAGTCCCCTACTTTGGACATTCTATATATTTTTAAATGTTGCATGCATTTCCTATAATTTTCCTATAAATGCATAAAATGAAATATTCATGTAAGATTAAATTTTTTGTGAATGTCGCTGTTGAAAACTATTCGCTAAATATTATAAAAATTCACGCATTCTTGGAAATTATATCTCGCGCTTTCTGTCACAATCTTACACATTTAAATCTCCCATAAATGCATAAAAATCCGCAGTCTGCTTATCAACAACGATATACATCACTTCTCGATATAAATCACACCCTGAAAGAAAGAGGAGAACGAGACGAGTGAATAGAGGTTACAAAAGTGAAACAAAGACAGCCTCTGTGCCGGACTTCGATGGTCCTCGGGGATACAGCATAAAATTCGAGCCTCCCCTCGAGCTAGACCCGAACGAAATTTAATAACATCCCTCTAGTTACACCTCAATGGGCACCTTAACAACCCCTGGCTCGGTGTAGCCAGCCGTCTCTTGCTCTTTCTCTTCTCCCCTCTTTCCTCTCCTTATCAACCCCTTGGACGCGGATATCTAATAAACCAGCTCTTGAAACGCGTCTTTATCCGAACAACGATAGTCTACCCTACCTTCGCCTCTCTCCCACCCCCTCCTCCCCTCGCCCACACGATTCTCGTGTTTCTGGCAGGGTGGATGAAAGTTGCGGAAGCTTGTGTCCGACTGACCCCAGGTCGTACGAACTGGACGGAGGCGCAACCTGTGCGCTGATCGACGAACTACCAGCGAAAGGGTTGAAAAAGTGGTGGACATCGTGCTGGGAATAAACCGATCGATGTGAGAGGGTGATGTCGGTCGCGACTGCGACCCAGTTACGCGACCGCGCGTTTCTGGAGAAAGAGAATTGAATTTGGTACATTAGGTGGAAGGGTGGTTAAGACAATGGGACGAACGTTCTTCTTCTTGGTGTACGTAAGATGGTTGTGTTTAGAAGGGTGGAAAGGAAAGGGTGTTGGCGAGAAGTTGGGGGAGCAGAGAGAGAGCTTTTGGAATTCTTTTGGAGAAGTTGAATGTGGATTGTGGTGAATCTTTGGTTCAAAATATCAATTTTTACGAATTTACGTAAATTCTTACGAATTTTTATATTTTATAATAGAGTGAGGAGAAATTTGTTTTCCACTGATTGTAACAAGAAGAAATTTTTGAATTTTTGGTTGACGATATGAATTTTTTATGTATAGTTGATTGTAAAATTTTATTCTTTTATTCATATTATTATTAATATACTAACATTATTATTATTATTGTTTTGTCTTCCGTAAGAGAAAAAGAGTATTCTTAACCATGTTTCTGACTAAAAAGAATTTTAATATAGAATGCAACTTCTTAAAAAAAATTTTCAAAAAAAGATTTGGATTCAATGCGCAAGAAAATAAAAATACCTCGTATAATATTATTTTTAGATGAACAAAAATTTTAATAAAAAAGTGTATTATTATTACGATAAAAAATGATTTACGGTAAACTTACTCGTTCTACCGTAAATCATTTATCAGAGGAGCGATCATAATCATCGCATTCTATTTCCAGAGTGAAGAAATTTTCATGCAGAACATGACTATGTAGAATTTTTGGAAAAAATACGAACTCCATACAGTCGGCTATTAAAATTCGCAACAAGAGAATAAAAGCTCTTCCAGTTGGTCATACTTTGTTTCTGAACGTGAAAAATTTTAATATAGAAGAACACGACTGCGAAGAATTTTTGAGGATAAAAATGCGAATTCCACATGACAGATTATTAAGTTCTACTTCAAAAGAATAGAAGCACTCGTAGTCGTGACATTCTATTTTTGAATGAGAACACTAAAACCAGCCAGAGATAGTAAAATAGTTGTGAAATTGACTCTCGTGTCCAAAGAGGCAATCACCCTATCGATGATGACAAAGTGTATTTCTGAGAAAAATATTAAAAGCGACAAATTGTAAGTCTTTTACATCACTATCCTCGGCAAATAGAGACAATACAAATTACAATTACAACATATTTTTCATAAATATATGTTTATTTTATTATCTATTATTCAAAGAAAATGAAAAATTTTAACTCTCTCACACATTAACAAACAAAAATAATTACATAAAACCTTGCCAAGTATTATTTTCCCTATCTGTCTTAATTATGAACTTTGTGTATGACAAAACCGAGTATTGAAATACTCGAATCTCAAGTTTATCTGCTCCAAAGGAAAAGAAAACCAAACGATCGATATCATAGAAAACAGGAAAAATGAAAAATTCTAAGCACCATATTTTCAACGAGCAGAACGAACAACTCTGCAATAAAACGAAAACAAGGTCCTAGACAATAAAAAAAAAAAAACCCAAACCCAAAAAACCTGAGAACAACCAGTGAACCAACGTTTCAAGAATATGTGCACGAAAAACCAATGCCATCAGAAGCGAACAAGCTTCTCGTCGATGATAAAAATAGAAGTTCCTCCACGTACTAGCCTATCCTCTTCTATTTTCCAGGCCGCAGCCGGTGTTCTCCGCAAAATATCCAACGCGGCGAACTTCCATCGCGCCAGCTCCGGTAATTCGATTTAGCCGAGCTGTATAGCCCGCGTTACGACACGAGACTGCGCGACACTTCCGCTCAGCGATTACCGTGGAACAATTTTATGCAGCCGACCTGGAAATTGTTGCGTCCGTCCTCGTTAGTTGAAATTACGAGACGGGGAAATCTGGAGGAAAGAAGAAGAGGTTGAAAGTCGTCCGGGGAGGGGGCGCGGTCCTTGATTGAGTAGACCACCGAGGATGGAAGGGAGGATTGGATACGCTAGACAGAGAGAAATAGAGAAAAGGAGAGACAGATGAAGAAATACAGAGAATGAGATGAATGAAAAGAGAGAGAGAGAGAGAGAGAGAGAGAAATAGAGAAGAAGAGAAATAAAGGAAAATATATATATGTGAATCATTCAGAAGTTACATCAATCGATTCCATAGACTGGAAAACACAAGAAAGTGATAATATTATAAACACGACTCTTCAAATTTACTTTAGAATTTATTGGCTTGTTATTAGTTTAGAGTTTATTAGTTAGACTTCATCAGTTTATACCAACTATCTTATTTTCATACGATAACCAAACTTGGAAAAATAAGACATTCGTTTGTTGTGAATTGAATGTTAATTCTGTACTTGTATAATAAAATTCAGAAATTAATAATAAAAGTGGAGTTGATCACTTTGATGCTCTGCGAGTCTCATATATAGAGAAAGGCAAAGAAATAAAAAAAGGAATATATATATATATACATATATATACATAGAGAGAAAGAGAGAGAGAGAGAGAGAGACAAAGAAACACAGACAGAGAAAGAGAAAGAGGAGGGTTGGGTAGGAGCGGAGAGACGAGAAATCGACGGGCAGGACTGCTACTCCACAGTAACGCCGGGGGCAGCAGGGGAGAGAAGCTCCGTTAAGCCGCTTATCATGCCGAAACAATACACTGTCGGTGCACCAGTATCAGTAGCCGACCCTCGCCGCTCGAGGCTAGTCCCATCAAAATTTCGAGCTTCGAACGAATTTGAATTGGAATCCGCGCCGCCAAACTAGCTCGTCGAATGCGCCGGAAATCGCCGCTGCGAAGCGGACTGGGCGGCCGCTCGCGCCGGCTTTCTCTCTCCTGCGGGCTGATAAATCGACACAAAAATGGATGGCACCGAGAGATGGAAATTTTTTTAGTGTTTTCAAGTAACGGAGGCTTGCGGTGTCGAAGATTAACCAGAACTCGATTTTCTTTTTTTTCTTTTTTTGTGTGTGTGTTTTTTCTTTTCAAAAACGAAGACGAACACGTGGATTAATGTCAATTAATTTTAATTACACGCTGCTGCGAGACGACGCTCGTGAGACGACGAAATGAAGGGAGATGAATGACCCAGGAATGGAAATTTCAGTGTTTGAAGGAACGAGGGCTTGCGGCATTGGAAAATTAACCGAATTGAGTTTTTAGTGCCTGACAGATTCAAGACATACGATGACACTGAGGGATCAACTGTTAATTATTACATCATTCTAATTAGCTAACTTTCAGTCGCTCTTTAAATTCGTTCATCTATGAGAAATCCATACGAGGAATCCAAATCTAAAAAGAAATTCTTCCAAAGATGAAACCACCGAAACACCTCAAACTTCACTCGAAGATTCTCAAAGAAGCTCAACTACTCAACCCTGGTGGCAGTTTCTCAACGAAGAAACGATCGGTAATTTCAGTACGCTGTAGCTCTCTCGAAAGTCGCCTGGTGAAACGGGGCGCAAAGTTTCGGGGCGAAGAGTGGCGTCGACAAACGAAAGGCCGGGGCTTAATCAGAGTCTTCTCCACTTAGACGCTCGGTGGCAAAACTCAATTTTGAGTCGGCGCCTGCCGACGCTCAATTTTGACACCCTTCGTAGCCACCAAGCCAGCCAAGACTGAGTGGAGCAAGCTTGCCTTCGCGACACACCGGCAAAGGGGATGATGCAGGGTTGTAAACTTAGTTATCCGCCCGGCGCTTGAGACGTGCTACGAGGCAGATGCTACGAGCTGCACACTGTGTGTGCCCGCATCGGCAGGTAGCGCATCTGGACACAGAGAGAGGAAGAGAGAGAAAGCAAGTCTCCTATCGATAGACACTTACCGGACAACTTGAATCCCAGAGGATCCTGAGGATGACCGAAAGGGAACGGTCTTGGACCAAAGTGGAAGGGATGAAACGCCTGGTGTCCTGAAACGAAACGTGAATTTATGCGTTGTATACTATGCGAGTTGGGCGGAATTTTTTTTTTTTTTTTTTTTTGGTGTAGTTTGAATTAAATTATTGAATTTCATTTTTCGTGTATTTTTTAAAAAGTTTTCAACCTCAAAGAGAAGTCGTTCGCTTTTCTTTATATTTTTCTTGTTTTCGATGTGTGACAAAATTACACGAAACTTGCAATTTTATTTAATTCCGTGTTGGAAATTTATAATTAATATCTTTTGTAGTTCCATTAATTCTATATTTTATCTAATTCTGTATTCGAAACATGTAACTATATTTTATTATATTCTCCGATTCATTTAATTTTATATTCAAAGTTTGAAAATTAATTTTAGACTATGATTAAGTTTCTCTTAAAGAATCAATTCTTAAATTTCTATTTCATATTCGTAATGTCATGAATACGTCAATTATTTTAAATTAATAAAATAAAATTTAAATGGGAAACGTAGCAATGAAATCATTGAACCTCACAATGAGTCATAATAACGTAAATTAGTTGAAGATTGCGAATGAAATGTGTGCAATTGAATATTTTTCAAAAAATATAAAAGTTCTGTTCACGTTTAAGAATGGAGTTACCCACTGCTGGTAAAACCGTGTAACACTCACTTGTCTTTGACCTAGGTTCTCTTGGTCCATCGACAGTGACCTTGATTGCCTTGGAGAGAGTAGCAATTTGAGGTGGTGATGTCTGCAGCATGATCGTCAGGGTGAAGCTCTTCCCTGAAACAAAAGAGGAAACGTATGTTAGTGGAATTAATTTGGTGGAATTATCGCCAGGTGGTAAAACGAAATCACACCTCGGATGTTTTTTAAATAAAATTTGTTAAACTACGGAAATTTAAAGTGAATTAACGAAACTTAAATTTGTCTGTTCCGTCACAGAAGCAAATTTTCAATTATCTCACAGATGTATCTATGTAAACTTACGTGACTGACCGTAAATTTCCATAAAATTTTATTTCTATTTATTTTTTTTCTACTTATATGTCTTTCCAGACAAGTATTATTATCATTGATTATTTCGAAAATAGTCTTAATAATTCCATTGCATTTTCACAGATGTACATATGTTCACGAAACACAATTCCACCCCACACTCACTCACCCCCGAACAGAAATACTGTCAAGAATTTCTCTACCACTCAGCTTAATATTCTCCTCTCAAGAAGAAATCCCGAAACGAAGCAAAACAAAACAAAAAAATCCAGGAAATATTCTCACGTGATTTTCATCGTGGGTGCAAAAAAAAAAAAAAAAAAGAAAAGAAACAATTCAAAACGACAAAAACCAACCCCCGTTTGCACACGTCTTGCCAAACGCGTTTTTCGCGAGAAACGCGGCCAACTGTTCGCGAGAAACGGCGACGCGCGTTCGCGGGGTGCGTTCGCTGGAAACAAAACACAAATGTGCCGGAAGTAAGGGGTGAACGAGTGGCGCCGCTGCGTCGATGTTTGCCCCGAATCGGCCGGAATATGTTAATGTCGGGCGAGGAGGGAGGCTAAACGCGAGCCCACCATCCCCGACAAATGTACACAGCCGTTTGTTACGCGCGATTTCGTCCTCTCCACCTTTCTACCGATACATCGAGCCTGTCGACCGGTTCGATCGCTCGATCCACGGGTCGTGATGGCCCCTGTCAAATCTTCGTCGAGATGTAGCCTGTCGCTTCAATCAACGGCAGCTCGATTTTCCTTTTTTTTTTCTTTTTTTTTTTTTAGTCCCTCAAATTTGTCGTCGACGTTTCGAATCCGACGTTGTATTAACAGATCGTGCTTGTAAAAGATAGCTCTTTTTGCGAGATAGGGGACGTGGATTTCGAAGATGGAAGAAGTTTGTGCTTTTGGTGACTAGACGAAAAGAGGGAGAAAATATTCTTGAGATGACGTTTGTGGAAGTTTAATAACTAAATTATACTCGTTTATATTTTTATAATTATCATGTGCAATAATAGATGGAAGCATTTGACCATTTAGTATATTATTTAAATCACTAACTTCAATAAGTAAATCACTACATCTTGCAAATTGTTCTAACTTCAATTATTTCTAATAAAATTGTTACATTAGAGCTTCCGACAAATTCAACATAGTCAAATACTAGCGTCAAACCTGTCGCTAAATTTATTTTAAACAAAAAAATAAACATTCGCGTTCCTCTCTGCAATTAAAAGTTAACAAGACAAAATCAACCGAAGCAATTATCGAAGTTCTGAAGAATGCTCCAGAGTCAGAATCCAAATTTGAATCAACCATTTCGTGAATTCCCACGCATAAAAGTATTTCGCAAATGAAACGACACAAACGCCGAATAATCGAACGTGAATTTCCAACGGTTTGCCAAAAGTTTCTTCTCGCGAATCGACGATCAGCCGCGATACACTAAAACGGAGAGAGAGGGTCAGAGGTTAAACGATGAAATAAAAGCTGGCACTTACGCGCGTTTTCGTGCTACGAGCGCCGAGTTATACGGCTTATAATGGGGTCGGCGTGCATACACGTGCGCGGTTGCGCAGTTTTATTTTATGGCGGCGTGGCTTGGACGGCGAAACGACCAGGTTTTTACGGTGAACCACGACATTTAACCGGCTTACCGCCGTCGTCCAGCGAAATATTCAACTCCGGACGTTTCACGTCACCCAGGAAACGTTCTGCTTCTCCGCGTGTTCCGTTTCATCGTCGCGCGACCATTCTTCTCTGCCCGTTTGAAATATTTCAATTGTACGTTGTACGAAGTGTTATTTGCGTAGAATGCGAGGAACATAATACACGAGCGTTCGTCGCTCCTTTCTTGAGATATGATTCAATCACTCGGTATAAAATTTGTTGGAGTAATTTATTGAAAGAATTCTCGCAACAATATCATTCACGAACACAGTTTTCTTGCCGACTTGTCAATTTATTTATTGATTTCTGTATCGTTTTGCTCTTTCGTACAGGTAAGAAAGGAATGTTTTTTTTTTTTTTTTTTTTTTTGGCAAACAGCGAATCATTGTTTCCTTCAATTTTTGATTCAGCGTTTTCTTCAGCGCGATAGTTGTGCAATTTGAAATTTGTTAATCATATCACTTTGAGGAACTACATTGCTCTCACAAAGTCCTGAAGGTTTCTTTTTTTATAAATTTCAATCCAAAATTACTGTCATAACAAACCAAAAGAAATTAACAACCAGTCCTTAAAATATTCTACATATAAATCATTACGATTTAATTAAACTAAAGCAACTGTCACATTGTCGGGTTTGGTTGTGTTAGTGTTAAAGTAGCTGATTAAAATTTACAGTTATGACACAAATGGAGATGAAAAGCAATGCCGATGTGTAAGGATTTAATGCTGCAGCTAATATAACAAAAAGTATCGCTGCATCGGAGGATAATTATTGAATCACCCTCGTGACTTTCGATTCGTGTCGAAAACGATGACGATGGAAATTCATCGCAACCTTTTTAATCCTTGCAATGAACGCGAGAAACAGAGAAAAAAAAAAAGAAGAAAGAAAATACAGGACGAGGAAAAAAATTATTCGAAATAGAATACAGAGATTTTCGAGGGTGAAAGCGGAGGGTTAACAAGGCCAAAGTTTATTGCCGGTGCGGTGTCAGATTCGTGATGGCGGTGGCGGCGCGAATCGAGGGTGATGGCAGGCGTTTTGAGGGTGTTTATGAGGCATTATGTGTAACTCGCTGGAAGAACGATCCTCCCCCTTGAGGTCTGCTGCCCTCCACCTGTCTACGCTCGCCGAAATCGTAATTCGTTGCGTGCTAAACGCTGCCTTTCCACGCATCAATCTACGCCCTGTTGCAGTCTTCTGAATAATTTCGGAATCCAGTCTACGAACATATCCTACGAACGTTCGATTTCCATATTATTTACCTGCTTCTTCCTTCTTCGAAATATTCCTCGACTATGTACTTTTATACTCTTTTGTAATTTCATTAACATTATCAAGGAAATAGGTGAAAATTTGTTTAACAGTCGTTTAATGTGAGAATTTCAACTGGAGTATTTATTATATTTTGTATATTTTTATAAAATGTCTGCAATTTTACTATCTACACGTATAATAAATTAATTTTTAATTGATGAAGAAATAAGTATGCGTTTACTAAATTATTACATTTTCATATTTAATTATAAAAAAAAAAAGTCTGGTATGCACTTGGTGAAATCTTGTATTATATATATTATGCAAAACATTTTGAAATTTCATTTCAGCGCTGCCATGATTGTATTGAGACAAATTTAAAAATATATATAGAAATCACAAGAAATTTATATCGACAAAAAAGAAAATGAAACAACAAAGCTCCTTTCCTTTATTAGATACTTTCAAACGATATTTCAGATCCACGATGATTGATAACTTTCTACATCACTTGGCCCAATCACATCATTGTTTCCTCATTATTCGCTTTTCCGCTCTGAGGAAAGAACTTTCGGTTCCTATAATCGCGAGAGAATTACTCTCCACAAAAGGTATCTCACTTTCAGTATTTTCATCGCGACGAGAAGAATTTCTGGAGATTTTTTTTTCTTCTTCTTTCGTCCGACAGACAAAAAAGAAAAGAGAAACGTAATGGCCGTGCGTTTACGGGCTCGCGATAGTCCGCGTCCATTTACACGACAAGGATTTGCACACCGCGAGAAGACACGAGAGAACGTTCGCGTACACCCTAAGTTTGCCCAGGGATCATGCAGTGTTAAAAACTCCCCTGTTTGCCGGCGAAGCTCGTAGCCGAGGGTGGCTCGGATCGTTATTTCAGAGTGTTTGTCGTGTTTTAAGATTCTGACGTTTTGACTGGCCGAATCGCGCCGGAATGACGCGCTCGTGTACGCTTCTCTATCCGATGGCCTTCTTTTTTATTTCCAAGAAACGCTCTTCCCAACCTCGCCGATCAACTTCGATTAGAGAAAATACCGTCTTCCTTTGTGAAGTCTCATCGACATTCATCAAAGTTCATCGTTAGACGACAGAAATCAATTGTTCAATGATACAAAGTCTTCTAGTAGAAGATCTTCGATGTTAATTCGTAATCAACGTTACATACATAATCTTTTTTTTTTTTAATTCTTTCTACTGGTTTTAACTCTAATCAACTATTGTGAAGAAACTAAAGATTCGTAGCTCTAGCTGCAATTTTATTCTGGATCAAAAAAAAATTCTCCTTTCCAAAATTAAAACGAACTTCAACCACGCTGATCTCGCCATATATTTGACAGGTGTTTCGATAAATATCAGAGACGGATGCTTCTAATTCTAGACCTTCGACCACAGGAAAACAGCCAAAAGACCCTATTTTCCAGCATTCAAGCAAACTTCTACAGAAATTCGCCTTTAATCAGAACTTTTTCCTTTAACTACCAACAACGCTGCGCTGTACTCTGATCGTTTGTCAGAAGCGAGTCACGAGGAGGGAACGAGCGTACAGAACCATCGAAACAAACTCCAGAGGAAGTGAAAGAGAGAGAGAGAGAGAGATAACGAAACGAAGCTGGGCCTCGTTTACGAGTAATCGAAGCGCAACGATAGCGTAGCGAGGAATCTTTCAGGCAGGATACGTCGACATCGAGTCGAGGATTCATCGGAGCGAGAGTACCGGCGCACGGTTGAAAAGGGCGAGGAAAAACGTGGAGAGCGTGGAATTAGCATATGTAAAAAGAAACAGAAGCGCACGTACGACGAGAGCAGCGGAGACCAGCAGGGAAAATAATGTTTAATCGGTA